ACACACACACACACACACACACACACACACACACACACACACACACACACACATACACACACACACACACACATATATATATATATATAACACAATACAATTTCGTGCTCCTCGTGTATACTAGGTGGAATAGGTATGAGGTTCTGTTTTATATAAAAGGCACAGAAAATATACACGCATGCCTCACGCATCACCATAGGCCCAGTTCTGGTACCAATGATGCCCCCACCTGCTGTTTGTAGACTGGTTCACACATTTACGTCCTCGTAGCAAGGCACAGGCAGATAAATACACGTACATACCTATATACACGTGCATAAAAATCTTTCTGATGAGTTTTGCACTGTGTAATTACATACGTAGAAACCAACTGCATATACACGGCTACATGCTCAGACATATGTCGGTATACACGTACACATATGTCCACATGAATGTACATGACAGTACAAACTCGCCCCAAGCTCATACACATAGTAATATCCACATACAGTAAAGTAACACTATATACGTTCAATGCTCTCCACAAGCAGAGACGCAGTGATGAATACCCGGGGTATTCAGTTACACTGAAGGAGCAATGTGGCCTAATCCCAGGCAGGTTGCGCTTAGGTAGACATCCTCCATATATTTATACAACCACGTATAGACACACATATACACATATTTATACATACACAACCACACACACACATATATATATATTCATACACACAGCCACATATATATTAATACATAAACACATATATATTAATACATACATACATATATATATTCATACATACATACACATATATATCCATAAATACACACATATATATTCATACATACACACACATATATATTCATACATACACAGCCACATACTCACATACCTATCCAAACATACAACCACATACCCTCATGCATCCATTCACAAATATACACACACAATGTCCCCCCACACACACCTAGAGATGAATCGCCGGTTTCCGTGGCCACGTTGAAGGCGCGTGTGGCCTGGTCCCACAGATGTTTGAGATACGCAAACGTCACGCGTGCATTAGCGCTGAGGTGTGTGATGAACAACGGCTGCACACCCCCTCTATGCTCACCCACACTCGCGCCCGTCCCGGTATTCGTCCCGGTATTCATACCGCCGTTCGCGCCGTCCGACCCTGTCATGACCATTGCCATATGCGCATTGCCCCCCATACTTGCACTCCCATTGACACTCCCATATGGGTGTGGGTGTGGGTGTGGGTGAGCGTGTGGGTGTGTGTGTGTACCTGCCGGCTGACATTGAGACAGGGCAATAGACGCGAGATGTCCAGACAGCCCCTCCACTTGTTCGGCCGTGAGTAGGCCAGTGGGTGCCTGAGAGTGTGGGTATCCCTGTGCGTGTACGTGTGCGTGGGTGTGGCCGTGGGCGTGTGCGTGTGCTCGCTGCTGTGTGTCTAAGCGTAGTTGTAGACCCATGACCAATTGGGTGTCGAGGTTGGAGTCTAACGGACGTTCCATTAATTGCAGTAACGTCTTCTGTGACAGGTCCATCAGGCCCATCTGCGCCAGATACGGATACGTGCCAGAAGAAACATAAGACGTTAGACACAGGTGCTGGCATGTGTGTGTAAGTCAGTACCTTAGTTTGTGGAAACGTATTTGTATACGCGTTCGAGTGAACAGTATCAGATTTTAAATCTCTTAGTGAGACAATTGCTAGAGCACTCCCCACGAGCTAACTTATGAGCCACCGCACACAAGAACAAACACAAGAACACAAACCAACACAAGCGTACAGTGCCCTAGTGTAGTAATAGGTATGCCCGTTAAGGAGAACACATCTTGCTTGTTGACGTCTGCATGACTACAACTATGGATATATATAT